CCTGCCTGCCAGCCCCGCCTGCCCGCCCGCACTCTGGGCGGAGCCGGGGCGCACTGCGCCCACCCTCCCGCAAGGAGCCCTACGGCCGTAGCGAGTTTTCTGTCGCCCGGTCGGCCGGCGGAACTGCGCGAGCGCCGCCGCCATGTGCTGGGAGTCGTGGCTCGCGCTGTGCGCGCTGCTTCTGCTCCTGGTGCAGCTGCTGCGCTTCGTGCGGGCGGACGGCGACCTGAGCCTCATGTGGGCCGAGTGGCAGCGCCGAGCGGCCGGGGCGCGCCGGGACCTCGCTGGCTCGGCTGCCCGCAGCACCCCGTCCTTCCCCCGGCTGCCTGGAGCCGCAGGCGGCGAGCCTGTGCCTACAAGGGCTGCGGGTGGGAGCGGTCGGACCGGGGCTAAGGCGGCATCCTCCGCCCCTTGGTTCGCTGCCTTGCTGAGCGCAAGATGGCAAGGACTTGGGGAACCGCCAGGGTTGCCAAGCGGTCGTAGGAGAGCGCTGTTCCCCCGTGTGACTGGGAGGATCCAGGGCTCCGTTTCTCCGCTTCCTGGAGTTGTTTATCTTCACTTCTCACCTCCTGGAGTTTTGCAATCAAACTTGTGACTGGGGTTTAGCACCATGGGGATGAGCGGGGTGGGGTGGGACTAAGGTAGAATTTTGCCCGGAGTGAGCTGATTACGGGCCAACCCCGCTTTGGGGGGCCGATTCCACTTTTTTCTGTGCCTGGCCTGGGCCGGAGTCGACTCCTTGGCAATGAGTTTGGATTTGAGTGCCATTTTAAACAAGCCTCTAGCGTTACAGGCGTCCTGGTGGCGTCGTGATCACGAGTTGCGCCGCTACTCGTCTGTGAAGAGTTAGGGTCTCTAATGGGGCAGTTCTGCCTGCCCTCTAGGGCCACCTCGAGTAGAGATCTACTCGATGGCAGTGAGTATGGTTTGTTTTGGGATGTTGGATGAATGCAGATGTAGGTAGGTTAAAATTTAACATTTTATCATTTGTTCTTTTAAAATATTTTTTGCTTTTCAATGGAAGTTTTTCTGTTTTATTTTGGTATTGTTAAGGGGTTCTTTTTGGTATGTTTTTCTGTATATGCAATCTAGAATAGGTAAATCAATACTGACAGTAACTAGAGTAATAGTTTCTTAGGGCGGGGAGGTTCAGGGTAAATGGGGAGCTAATAATAATGAGTACAAAGGAGAAGAAGATGTTTTAAAATTGAGTGTGGTGATGATTGCACAACTCTCTTAATATGATTAAACCATTGAATTGTATGATATGTGAATAATATGTCAATGAGACTGTTAAAATCAAGAAAATAAAATAAACAGCTTATGTGCTAGGTAGTGAGCTCTGTACTTAAACACACACCCTCTGGTAGTTTTACAACTGCCTTATAAAGTAGGCATGATTTAACTTATTTTCTAGCTAGGGAAACGTGCTCCAATGAAATGATCTACCCAAGGCAGCCTTTCCAGGCACAGGGCTTATGTGGGTGGGAAAGGCCAGGAGGGGAGTGGTTTCCTCAGGACTAAGTGTTTTGGTGTGCAAGTCTCAAAGCATATGAGGAGGTTTGCCAAAAGTGCTAACTTATAGTTCAGAAGATTGATGATCCTTTCTAAATGAATGTGTGGGAGCTGAAGGGAGACTATAGAACTGCGGTTCTCAGCCTGTGGGTGGTGACCCTTTGGGGGTCGAACAACCCTTTCACAGGGGTCACCTGATTCATAATAGTGGCAAAATGACAGTTATGAAGTAGCAACGGAAATAATTCTATGGTTGGGAGTCAGCACAACATGAGGAACTGTATTCAAGGGTCGCGGCATTAGGAAGGTTGAGAACCACTGCTCTAGAACAAGGTAGAACAGCCCCTGTGAGTTTCTGAGACTAACTCTTTAAGGGAGTAGAAAACCCCATCTTCCTCCTGAGGAGCAGCTGGTGGTTTTGAATTGCATACCTTGAGGTTAGCAACCCCACAGGTAACCCCTACACCACCAGGGCATTTAGGTTATACTTTCAAGGAGGCAAAAATTTGTTCTGGGAACTGTGACTTGTGGCCTCTTAAAAGCCCAACCCTACCGGACAAAATCTTATTTCTTAGTATTTCATTTCATGCCCCCTTTGGGTTTTCTTGGTTCCACATACATGAGCAGCATTGATATAGATCAATCCGTGGAAGAAACACAATTTATATCCGATCAATGGTAGCCAACGATGGCCTAGGTAGATAGCCACCTTTCTCTGCCTGGATTTTGCCATCTAGAAATCAGCTTTGCAGGTGAACTGGCTGCCTCTTGTGACCTTGTAGATGCAGTGTTTGCACCCCAGTGCTTTTGTGTTGAATTGGAGAAGAGTTTATACTTCATGACTTAATCCTACAACTGTCATTCAGTTGTCATCAGTTATGTCACATGTTGAAAAGGTCGCCAAAATCTCATCTCAGTGACTATTGCGCTCTCTGCCAGGTATAGTGACGGTAAGTTAGATTCTCATATCAAGCACAAGTTAAAAGTTAAGATCCTTGAAAAGAATTTTTCAGGAATTGGTCTCATTTTGTAAGTTTGAAGATGAATTTTTTTATTACAGTGGTGTATTATTTTAGAGCAATTTCTTAACCTTTAACTTTCGCTTGATATTATTTTAGACCTATAGAAATTGCTAGGAGCCCTAGTGGCATAGTGGGATACACATTGCACTGCTAATCTCAAGGTCAGCAGTTCAAAACCACTAGCCACCCTGAGAGAAAAAGGTTTTCTACTCCTGTAAAGAGTTACATTCTTGAAACCCATGAGGGTAGTTCTACTCTGTGCTATAGGGTAAGCCTGAGTCAGAATTGACTCAATGGCAGTGAGTTTGGTTTTGAGTATAGAAGTTCCTCATTTGTGTATGCAGTTTAATACTTTCTAATATATTTAGATAAATTAATTACATTAAAAGTTACTCAGGAGATTCAGATAGTTAAATGACAATAGCTATTAAGTTTTAATTTAACTTTTGACTTAAAATTTTAATTTAGCCTTTTCTAATCTTGCAATGTATAAAAAGCATAAACTATATACATGTTCTTAATGTATAAAGCACAAATATATGGACAGTACACAAACAGGTACATAGTATGACTGTGGTATTGAGACTTCATGGGGTTGGCAGATAGAGGAAACTGTCAAGTTGTTGGGGAAATGATGTAGCATGGTTAAGGGAAGATGGTGGTAAGCTAGAAAGATAGGTCAGCTCTATCAAGGTTAAAAAATCCTTTTTATAGGTTTTTTACCTTTTTTATCATTTAAGAATATCGCTAACATAATACAAAGCTTTAAAAGAATCTATAGTGAAAACATTTCTCCCACCCTTGTTCCTACCACCCGGGGTGGTTTTTTCTGGAGGTAGTTACCGTTTCCTGCCTCTTGTGCATCCACATAGGTCCCCAGGTAGCACAAGTAGTTTGTAATGAGCTTCTAATCTAACAGTTCGCTATTCAAACCCATCCAGTGGCATCTCAGAAGAAGGCCAGGTAATAAAACCTTGGGGCAGTTCTACTTTGTAACTCATGGGGTCCCATCAGCTGGAATTGACCCAGTGGCAACGGGTTTGGTTTAGCGTGGGGTGTCCCTTAGGGAAATTGCCAGCATTTTCAAAGGTATATTTCCCATGGTGAAATGTCAGGGTGACTAATATTACACTTAGCTTTAGAAAGATCCGGGCGCAAGTCCAGGGCAAGGAATCCTGGCAGAGCAGTCCGTGTGAGGAGAATGCAAGGTTCAGCTGACAGACACCCCGTCTGAGTGAACTGTGAAGTGGCTGCCAGGCCAGATTCGGCCAGCCTGGCTCATTTGTAGATGTTTCTGAAGCAGCAGCTGCGAACAATAACAGATGGCTTCTGATCACTTGCCATGTGTGCTGGTCCCTGGAAACGCAACAGTGACTAAGCCAGCCATGGCCCAGGCCTGCCTTCTGGGGGACCAACGCAACTGTTCCCCGCTCTCCACATGGTCCAGGCCCCACGGAATCCCGGGTCCTGCTCTGGGTGTCTCCTTCTCTAGGAATGCTGGCCCACTCGAGCGTGTGCAGAGGGAAGGTAGCAGGAAAAGGTCTCCCCTCAGCCGCCACCCCTTTCTCCACAGAATGGGAGCTGACTGATATGGTGGTGTGGGTGACTGGGGCATCCAGTGGAATCGGCGAGGAGCTGGCGTACCAGCTCTCTAAACTGGGAGTTTCTCTTGTGCTGTCAGCCAGAAGAGTGGACGAGCTGGAGAGGGTCAAACAAAAATGCCTCGGTAAGTAGCAAAAGAACCATGGTGCTTCCTAGAAATAACTCCTAGGTCATCAGAATCCAAACTCAAAAACAGTTTGGGGAATTTTAGGAGAAAGAGTGGAGTTTTCCTCCGCAGAAAACTTGCCAGCTCTTAACACTCCAAGTGCTTTGGCCCCAAAGCTCGTTTGTTCTCCCAACTAGCGATTCTTTCTTTTTGCTTCTCTTGTTCTGTTGCCTCTCTGCCTTATTGGACTGACTCTTAATGTGGAGATTGACCACTCATTCTCTCGAATGCTGGTGGATTTTCATGCCCAGGTGGCATGCCTTCTTGTCTGAGAGAAAGAGCAGCGTGGTTCTTCTGCCTGGCATTTGTCTTAGCTGGCTGGTGCGGTGGTCAAAGGGAGACCCTAAGTCATGGCCTTAGCAAACAGAGCTTCCATTCTCTCACAGGTTAGGAGACTCGAAATCCGAATTCAGGGTGCCAACTTTTCTTCCTCGGTTACCTCTAGGAGAGGCTTCTTTTCAACATCTGTGAGCTCAGCGTGCCTTAGGGCTCTCCCTGTGTCTGACACCAGTCTTTCCCTGGCTCCAGGAGGGTCTCATCACAGGGAACCCTGGTCTAAAGAAAGGAGCCCTGGCAGCATAGTGGTTACTTGTTGGGCTGCTAGCTGCGAGGCCAGCAGTTTGAAACACCGTGGAGTGAAAGACGAGGCATCTACTCTCAGAAAGAGTTACAGTCTCGGAGACTCACAGGCGCAGTTTGACTCTGTCCGGTGGGATCACTGCGTCAGCATCGACTTGATGGCAGTGAGGTGGTGTTTGGGGCTGATGCAGTCCACTACTGCTCTTTTGTCTTGGTGGAGGTACCCGGGCCCCTCCTCTCTTTTGCGTCTCTTTCCGTTTATCTGGCCTAAGAGACTAAGTGATGCTGGCCACATCCCAGGGAGATTCCCCTGTCATCCAACCAGGGAGATGTCCTGAGGAAAGTTGCTGCATCCCACCCTCATCCGCTTACAGCTCATTAACTGATCACATCCGTCACATCATGGAGTCTATCTTTCAGTAGATAATTGCCTCGTTCCCTCTCTGCCAAACCACCAAGAATCATTAGCCAGCCAAGTTGACACATGACCGTAACCATGACAGGAACTAGAAAGAATCCATGCTGATGTAGCTAAATAGCTAAAAACCAATATGGATGTACATATATGAAAAAGATATCGATAAAATATGTGTAAAAAGATCTGTAATATATAAAGGAAAAAAGCTGAAATGGGATGATATAGTAAAAATTATAAATGGACCTTGATCTACTAACAGGCTTTCTTTTTTTTTTTTCTTTTCTTTTTCTTTTTTTTTTTTCAGCCAATCTGGGTTTTTTTCCTTTTTTTGCTTCTTTAAAATTTTGTATGTCAGTAGCTTTTTTGTTTGTTGGTTTGTCGGTGCGGCTGCCGTTGTCGCCATGTTCTTATGCGCCGCTTTGGCGCTGTGCTGTCAAAGCCAACCCCAATTTTATTCACACATTGATATGTCTGCACGCCCACCTAGATAAGAGAGGTTGGACAAGAAAAAATATGAGAAGAAAATAAAGGAACCATGGCCCCAGAGGGACATGGGAGTGTGGGAGGTAGGGGAAGGGAGGAGGGTTGGCCAACCTAGGGACAAGGGAGCAACAAATGGTTCAAAACCAATGGTAGGGAGGGGATGGGAGGACTGGTAGGGAGTGACCAAGGGCAAGGTAACTGTGAGGAATTACCAAATCCAGAATGAAGGCTGAACATGGTATTGGGACAGGAGGAAAGCATAAAGAAATAGAGGAAAGAAGTAGGAGGCAAAGGGCATACATAGAAGCCTAAATACAGACATGTACATATGTAAATATATTTAAGATTATGGGGGAACGGACCTAGGTGCAAATAATTATAGGCTTGGTAGTAGGGGGCAGATGGACATTGGGCCTCCTCATGCGCATTCCCTTAATACAAGAGCACCTTGCTCAGCTAAACGGTCATTTCATGATACCTAACCTTCCCGACATGATCACTGAAGACAAATGTGTGCATAAGTAAGTGTGGTGAAGAAGGCTGATGGTGCCCAGCTATCGAGACCTAGTGGCTGGGGACTTAAAGGCTTGAAAGTAAACAAGCGGCCATCTAGCTCGGAAACAACAAAGCCCACATGGAAGCAGCACACCAACATGTGTGATCATGAATGTGATCATGAAGGGACCAGACTTCAAACACCAAAGGCGGGGGTGGGGGTGGGGGTGGGGGTCATATCCTCGTCAATGAGGGTGGCGAGTGATGGGGACCCAATGCCCATCTCTAGACAACTGGACATACCTTGCAGAGGGGTCGTGGGGAGGAGATGAGTCACTCAGGGTTCAGTATAGCAATAGCGAAACCCACAACCTCCTCTAGTTCTTAAACGCTTCCTCCCCCCAACTACCATGACCCAAATTCTGCCTTGCAGACCAGAGGATGCACAACGGTACAGATGGGAATTGGAAACTCAGGGAATCTAGGACAGATGAACCCCTCAGGACCAGGGGTGACAGTGGCGATACCAGGAGGAAAGGGGAGTGTAGAAAGGGGGAATTGATCACAGGGAGCTACATATAACCTCCTCTCTGGGGGACGGGCTGCAGAGGGGTGGGTGAAGGGAGACGGCTGGGCAGTGTAAGATAAGCTATAATAATAATTTATAAATTATTAAGGGTTCAGGGGGGAGGGGAAAAAAGGAAAATGAGCTGATACCGGGAACCCAAGAGGAAAGCGAATTTTGGGAATGATGAGGGCAACAAATGTACAGGTGTGCTTTACACAATTGATTTATGTATTGTGATGAATTGTATGAGCTCCAATAAAATGATTTAATTTAAAAATATTATAAATGGATTCATAGCTTTCATTTTCATAAATAGGGCAGTAGCACTGATGTTCTTGTGTGTGTGTTTAGTGTAGTTATGTTCACATTGGGAGTAGCCTTAAGTAATGTGGCTATTTGTCATGGGACATTTGGTACCAAAACTGAGATCGTTTGTAAATTTTCAGCCGATTATTTTTGGTCATTTATTTCCACGCATCTTCCTTTTTTCACTGTTTAACTTTGCCGATCAAGCTAGCCACCCCAAGATGAGCGTTAGTTGCCATGTTGTCACTCCGCAAGGCCACCCAGCCTCTTTCATGATACCACTTTCTTTTTTCCCCACTCATTTTATTAGGGGCTCACACAACTCTTATCACAATCCATACATGCATCAATTGTACAAAGCACATTTGTACATTCGTTGCCCTCATCATTCTCAAAACACTTGCTCTCCACCTAAGCCCCTGGCATTAGCTCCTTATTTTTTCCCCTCCCTCCCGGATCCCTCTCCCTCATGAACCCTAGATAATTTATAAATTATTATTTTGTCCGACGTCTCCTTTCACCCACTTTTCTGTTGTGCATTCCCCAGGGAGGAGGTTATATGTAGATCCTTGTAATCGGTTTCCCCTTTCCACTCCACTCTCACCACTGGACCTGAAGGGATCATCTGCTCTGGATTCCCTGTGTTTCCTCTCTGTACCAATGTACATCTTCTGGTCTAGCCGGATATGTAAGGTAGAATTGGGATCATGAGAGTGGAGGGGGGAGAGGAAGCATTTAGGAACTAGAGGAAAGTTGTGTGTTTCAGTATTGCTACACTGCACCCTGACTGGCTGGTCTCCTCCCCACGGCCTTTCTATAAGGGGATGTCCAATTGCCTCCAGATGGGCTTTGGGTCTCCACTCCGCACTCCCCCTCATTCACAATGATATGATTTTTTGTTCTGATGATGACTGATAACTGATCCCTTAGGCACCTCATGATCATGCAGGCTGGTGTGCTTCTTCCATGTGGGCTTTGTTGCTTCTGAGCTAGGTGGCCGCTTGTTTCAAAGGCCTTGTGTGTCACTGAACTGAGTCACTTCTTGTGGGCATTGTTCTGCCCTGCTGTGACTTGCAAGGCCATCCGTCCCCCGCCCCCACCCACTGCCCTAAAGTAGATGAATTATATGAGCATCACTTAGCTGGAGCCTTTCACTAGTGAGGTCATAGGTGCACACTTTTTCATGTCTCATTACATTTGCTTTTTCTCGATCCACTAGAATAAAGCCGTTTTACTTCCCTCTTATTTTTCTCTAGTTCCCGTGATGATTTCCTAAAGGGGTATTACTTGTATTTCGTAGTTGAAGGAAGGAAATTAGGTAGTTGGCTGTAACTGGACCCTTTTTGCTTCTGCTTATCAGAAGGAGAATTATAACTAATTTTCTTTTTGACTTATAAATTCCAAGATTGTGTCTTTTTTAATTTACCTCCTGGAATCGTAATGTCTGGAGGGAATCTTGTGCATGTCATTTAGCTGTCAGACTCTGAGCTTCAGACAGATTTTAAGCAATATATATATTTGTAAAATAGCAACTAATCTTTGTGAGTTGGCCACAAAACAAATGTACTTCTAAAGAAATTGTTCTAAAATACTCATATTGTTTAGCTTGTAGGAGCAGCTTACTTTCTGCTGTGTGTTGCAAGTTGAAATGAGGTGGCCCCAATCGGCGCTTTGTCTGATCAGCTGTTGCTATATAATCACCAGACCTCTTCTTCATCACAGGGAAACTCTTCCTTAGGATCATCCAAAATTGAGAGTTTGTTGCCAATTCTTTTTTATAACTTTATTTTATGTTTATTGATTGTGATCCCCACAATGCACCATCACCTCTTCCCTCCTGCCCTGGGTTTTCCATGTCATTTCTGCCTTCTCTCCTAGCCCTTCTGAATGTTGCCCTTTTGATCTGAAATGATCGGTGGTTCTGAGGCCTGTGTACTCTCTAGTGTTACTGTTCCCCTTAGACATGGGCCTGTTATCTGGCTGAAAATGAAGCCATGGGGTAAATTCAACTCCAAACCTCAAGGGTGCTACCAGGGCTTCTACCAGTCTCTGACGTGAAGTATTCTTGTGAAATAAGCAATGGATGGAGTAAGGGGCTTGAATGAACAATGACATGATGCCCACACTAATTTTTAAGGGTTTTTTGTTTAGAAAATGGCAATTTAAAAGGAAAAGATGTACTCGTTTTGCCCCTTGACCTGACCGACATAAATTCCCATGAAGCGGCTACCAAGGCTGTTCTCCAGGAGTTTGGTAAAGTAAGTTGCATTGAGTTGGTAAGGTTTTACTTTGATGTATCTGCAAAAGAGATCCCCATCTGTGTTGGTTTCATTAAAGGACTTTAAGCAAAAGGGATTCAGGCAGTGAGAGCTGGCCCATGAGTTGGGCCTCTTTATCTCTGATTTTAGGCCCAAAGTGCTTTCTCTGTCTTAAAAAGTACAAATTTCTCTGCGTAGAACAAAGACTAAAACCCATGCCATTCAGTCGATGCTGACTCCTAGTGACCCGATAGGACAGGGTAGAACTGCCCCTGGATGTTTCTGAGACTGTTTACGGGATTAGAAAGCCCTTTCTCCTTGGGAGCAACTGGTGGTTTTGAACTGCAGACCATGCGGTCCACAGCTCAATGCATAACCACTATGCCACCAGGGTTCTATGATTAGAAAAAGGAAGCGAAAGTTCACTGTGGCTTTGATTTTTATAATATTCATTACTTTGCATAAAGTCACTTAAAATGGGGATTTAAGTCCATAGTGAAGTTTGCTGGGTTTCTCTTCTTTTGTTTTGCTCACATGTGTGACTTCTAAAACGAAACCATTGTTCTGTTGGTTCTTCAAGTTAGACCCTGATATGCCCCTTTTCTAATTTTATTTAACTAGATTGACATTCTGGTCAACAATGGTGGACGATCCCAACGTTCTTTGTTCATAGACACCAGCCTGGATGTCTACAGAGAGCTCATGGTGCTGAACTATCTAGGGACGGTGTCCTTGACAAAGCATGTTCTGCCTCACATGATCGAGAGGAAGCAAGGCAAGATCTTCACTATCAACAGCATCGTAGGTTTCATGTCTGCACCCCTTGCCAGTGGGTATTGTGGCAGCAAGCATGCTCTTCGGGTAAGGCTCAGACTCAGCTCTCCTTGAGCTCATTTAAACATCTCTTATGGCGTGTACCGTCCTCATTGCATGAGGCCATTGAACTTGGGCAGGGATGGGGGCAGACAGAGAGACCTTTGGTAAAGGGTACCCCCAAAACATGCTATGAAAGACTTGAGCCACACATACCTGCGACTTATTCAGTAAGCACGTCTTGAGCACGTGAACTGGGACGTGCACTGCAGTGGATCATGAGGATAGAAAGATGAGAAGGTCTATGCCTCTGCCTTCAAGAAGTACACATTGTTGCCCCCCATGGGACCTTCCTGCTCACTACATCTTCATGGCAACCTGGAAGGTGGAGGCGTTCAGTAGGTATACCAGTATCTGAAGGTGAAGATGACCAGGCTTTTCCCCCCTTCTTCTCCATGAACAGTATATGCCCTCTTTCTGGCTTCCCAGATAAGTATAAAGTGAACTGATCACTAGAGATTTTACACACGGTACTAGATGAGATTTCAAACAAAGGGCATTTTTATTACTAAACAGGTTGGTTTGCATGGACCCCTCACCTTTAGCTATAAGAGGGCAGAAAGTTAGAGGTATGAGGATTCCTCATTCAGTTACGGAGGGTTTTTTGGTTTGGTTGGTTGGTTGGGTCATCTCCAGTCAGGCACTGGGTTAGGCTTTGACAGTGTACACCCTCCTGGGAGGCCATGTGCTAGGTAGCAGTGGGGAAGGCTGGTATCTGAATGTGCTGTGGGTGAGATGTTTAGCCTTTACTAGTTAGCCCAGCCTAATAGCAACCATGTAGTCTGGAACAATGCCCCAATTTAGGGAATGAGATAAGGACGAGCAGAAGGCCTGTTGGCTACTTACTGATTTAAAGATCTTAATCAAATGATGGCATGGCCAGTGTCTTTAGTATGTAAAGGTCTAGCTGATTTTTACCACAGCCATTCCATAGCAGTCATATTTCCATCTAGTCCTCCATTATCTTATCACCTGCCCCCCCCCCCCAAAAGAGAAAGGTTTGGTGTCTTAGTTACCTAGGACTGCTACACAGAAATACCGCACCTGGATGGCTGTAACCAACAGAGATTTAGTCTTGCACTATTTAGGAAGCTAGAGGTCTGAACACAGGGCGCCGGCTGTTGGAGGCGGCTTTCTCTCTGTGGCTTAGGGGAAGGTCCTTAATCCTTAGCTCTTGGATGATCTCCATATGGCATGGGGTTTACCTTCTCCTCTCTGCTCCCCTCATTTGCCTCTGTAATCTCTATCATATCTCAAAGGAGAGTGGTTTAAGACATACCCTACCCCGATACTGACTCGCCGACACAGGAAAGCCCCCCCTACGTGGGATTAAAACTACAAGTATGGGGTGAGGACTTACAGCCCACATTTTGGGGTGGGGGGGCACAATTCAATCCAGAATGTTGGGTGACACCAATGCAGACTGTTAAAATAATACATTGCAAAAAATGGAATTCTCTTTGAGCATCTCTGCTGATACTAACTCCTCCTGCTCCTCCTTACCCTTGACGTTGGCACGTCAGACCCCTACCTCACTTTAGACTGCAGGGCATTGGGAAAACCCATACTCCAGGGAGAACACGCACCAGCCCTGTTAGAGTGGGGCCGTGGGGTCTGGTTTGAGGAGTGTACCTCAGTGCTTACCGACAGCGAAACCACTGATGTGAGGACCTGCCACGGCCAAAGGGTTTGCGAGTCAGTCAGATGCAGGGGTCTGCTCTCGATTGCCCACTGTCTTTAGATTAAAAATGCCTGATTCACTTGCACAATTCTATTGTCTTTTATGCAGGCACTCTCAAACCTATATTTTAATAAATATGTTGCTATTGTCCTGCATAAAAGGTTGAAGTAATGTTAAGCTTATAAAAGAAAAACAAGGTCTGCCTTTAATCTTATTTCTTTTAAAATTCTTATTCGTTTTTTTTTTTGTGTGCCTGTTAGGGTTTTTTCAATAGCCTCCGCATTGAGCTTGCTGCATACTACCCTGGTATAATAATTTCTAGCATTTACCCAGGACCTGTGCAGTCAAATATTGTGAAGAATGCCATAACTGAAGACCTGAAGGTAAAGATTTCTGCTTGAGAAGTAATATGGATGCTTTTAGTAGATACATACTGGTGATCTATCACAGCATCTTAGTGCGTTCCTGCTAGAGGTGCTTAGCGATGAAACTAAGACATTAGCTTAGCTGAATGCTTTGCCATGCTTGCTACCTTATCTTATATAAGTCATCTAGTCTCGTGTGAGTTATCAATATTTAAGAAACCCAGTTTCTGCCAATTCACACACAGCAACTTTGGAAGAGGTTATATAGCTTAGTTTTGATCTATCACATCTCACTGGGACATTTAGAGGGATTCTGTGGAAGGCACTTGGAAAAAGCTTTGTTGAATTGTGATTACTTTAGGTTAGGCTTGCTGAAGCCTGGGCACCCCTTAGCTCACGGTTACGCACTGTGGTCTAGTGAGTAGATAGCAAGGGTCTCACAAAGAAGAATACAGTATAACTCAGTAATGCAATCCCTGCCCACCCCTCCCACAGGACTGCGAAGATTTATTTTTAGTAGGCATAAATATGTATATGCTTCTTTATAAACGGTCCTAGATACGTATTGTCACATTTTCTCTGGAGGCGCCGAGATAAAGTTGAAAATGCACCCAGTTGGAAGGGAGAGACTTGGAATCCTGTCCTCGTTCTCCCATAGGGCCTGTGTGAACACAGATGAGTTACTCCCTCTCTGGGTCTTAGTTTATGGATTTGAAGAATGAAAGCTAGTTCATAAGCGTAGCAGTAACAGACATTTTCACTACCGAGAAGCCTCTTTTATATTCTTTCTCCACTTCATCCCTGTGGGCCCATATTTTATGAGATTTCATTTGCAAAATGTGTGTATTTATAATTTGCTTTAAAATGCTTATTAACATGATATCATCACTCAGCACATTAAGACGATGTAGTTCTAATAAAAAATTAAGAGCCTTCATCTTTTACTTACCTGCAGAAGCTTAACTGATAGAGTTGTGGTATCTGCTAGGGGTTTTTTTTTACTGTTACAAGGTTTGGAAGCCGCCACTAGTACCAGTGGGGCCTCGTTATGGGGCTGGAGGCCCTGGAAAGGAGTCCCATCATTAAAAGGCCTCTGGGTCCTTTGTAGATTCTATGTTTGTGAGATAGTGTCTATACATACTCAGCATTCACTCTAATCTCTTCATTTTCTCAGGCTTTAGGTAATGCTGGAGACCAGTCCTTCAAGATGGCAACCAGTCGTTGTGCCCGGTTGATTTTAATTTCTATGGCCAATGATTTGAAAGATGTCTGGATCTCTGATCATCCCATTTTGTTTATGGCGTACTTGGGCCAGTATATGCCAATCTTGACTGGGTGGCTAGCCAACAAATTAGGAAAGAGAAGAATTGAGAATTTTAAGAGTGGCATGGTAAGACCAGTTTACAAGTTTTTAAAATGTGTCGATTCTGTAGAAAAGTACAAACTTTCCTAGTATTTAAAAAACATTTCTTACTACTCCTCTGCCAACCACATGATAGATATTAAAAAATATATTCCTTAGCTTGTCTGTTGATTTGCTATAAATTATGACTGGTTTTAGAAAAAAGAAGCTTTTTACAAGATAAAACCAAATCAAAGATTGACTGACATTTCTTCTACACTTACTATTTGATCTCGTGGTGTAGGGGTTACACCTTGGGCTGTGATCTGCTGTCAGCAGTTCGAAACCACCAGATGCTCTGTGGGAGAAAGAGGGAGGCTTTCTACTCCTATTAGCAGTTACAGTCTCTGAACTCACAGGGGCAGTTCTACCCTGTCCTAATAGGTTGCTGTGAATCAGCAGTGACTTGATGGCAGTGAGGGATTTTTTTTTTATTGCTTGACCAATATTTGTACATAATTTGCTCATTGACTACCTGGAACAAAGTTTCTTAGATTTTTTCATCAGAGCTATTTAGAATTAAAGGAGATGTCCTCTTTAGTCAAGGATTCTTCCCACACTCACCTGTTACTGCCTGTGTTGCCTACGCCTGACTTCTTCAGTTCTAGCCTATGATGGTGTGATTCTCCATGCCCCAAGTGCTTCTCCACCCTCAAACTCCTGTCCATCCTGTAAGTCTCAGTGCAGGCATCACCTCCTCGGGGTGATCCTGGGTCTTCCCTCTGCTTCTCCCTGGGACCATGTGTACCTCAGCACCAAATTTGCCCACCAAAGCATTTACGACAATGTCACGTGCAGTAGATACATGTCACTGGACAGTCTTGCTGCCCTCTCTGCCCTCCTTCCTGAAATTCTCTGCACATCTTAAGATTCCCCTCTGTCCATGTCCAAGAAAATATGGCGAATATTTATTCTTTCAGGCACATTCTTAATAGCAAACAGGGAATAGGAATTATATATTATCGTTTCTGAGAAAATTATAACCAGCAGAAGAGTGGAATGTGTAAGCAGCGCAGAAAATGTTAAGCCAAAATGTATGGTTATCATTATACAAAGAAAATGTCTTGCTGCTGATGGTTTTTATTGTTATCTCTTTCATTGGTTGTGTATATGTGTATATCACATATCTATAGATGAATTATAAAAAATCGTGTACTATTACGATATGCTTACTGTTAAAACTCATGCTTTTATTTTCTTTCTAATCCTGGGTTTGATGGTAGCACTTAGTGGAGTTCAAAGACTTAAGTGTGACAGAGTATGCATTTAAAAAAAAGCATTGTTTCAGAGGTGAAAGTGGGACCAGGGGCTGGGGATTTTCTGTCCCGCTTGAGGAGTTGTTGAGTTCCTAGGTGGGGCAAATGGTTAATGTGCTCAGGTGTTAACTGGACGGTTTGAGTCCATGCAGAGGTGCCTATTACCTACTTCTGAATAATAAACCAACTAAGGAACAGTTCCCCTCTGACACATGTGGGCTTGCCATGAGTGGGACTGAGCTGACAGAAATTCGTTTTATAATTTTTAGGATTGAAGGACACTAAGCTATACTGAATCCTGTTTACCAGGATCCTCCCTCCCCGGTCCCCTTATTAGAGCAAATTGTTAGAAATGGTAAATTCTTATTTTAGGGATTATCAGTTTGTCTTGCTTTCTTCTTTAAATGATAGATGAAAAGTTCACAAATCATTTTAGAATTACCCATCAAATATTTTAATTCAACATACTCTGACTTATTCTTTGGAATTGTGACATCTAGGTGACTCAGTGGGTTATGAGTTGGGCTGCTAACTGAAAAGGTAAGCAGTTCAAAACCACTAGCTGCTTCACAAAAGAAAGATGAGGATTTCTGCTCCTATTGGAAACCCACAGGGGCAATTCTAATCTGTCCTGTAGGTTGTCAAAAGTCAGAATCAACTCAATGAGTTGATTTTAAATTTTTTTAATTTTTAATTTTAATTTTTAATTTAAATTTTTTTTAGAATTTTTAAAAATTGAATTTATTAAGACAATTAATAAATTGTAGGTATTGTACTGTTCCAGAATAATAATAGAGAATTCAGCATTTAAGAAATGTCATGCGCTACATATTACTTACTACTATAGAGTAAGTTAGAATGATATTAAGCCCATTAGAGAATTTTTTTTGTTAAGTCTAGTATTTTGGTTGTGATTTTTATTCTAACTTAAGCATCTCCCCAGGTTTTGTAAACATTCTTAGCTCTTAGTCATAGAGATATAGTTCCTACAAACAAGGAATTGTCAAAACTGAAGTAAATATAAGGAGGGAACTGATTCATGTTGCTCCCATTCTGTTACAGGATGCAGACACCTCATATTTTACATCCTTGAAGAAAAAGCACAATTGAAGGAACACTTGGATTTTTCAAGCTCCTGGAGAGAGACGGAAAACACAAAAATAACAATCTTCTTATACTGAAGGCTAATTTATGGTTTTGCTTTTTAATAGATGTAACTTTTCTTTCAACATAATAGATGATGGATTACCATGAATTTTACAATAAAATAACACATATTCTTAGATACAGTATTTTTAAGTAGTGTAGTATAGATTCTGGAAGTCAAGGTTTGCAAAATACTAACCAAAGCATTGCAGTAATGTATTTAACCTAAGTAAATGAACTATTTCTCACAAGGCAGAGTGGTTGGCCATGCACAGTCAGAAATCGTCCTACCCCCAGATGCTTACAAAGTCCTGGAAGAGTAGATAGGTTCACAAATGACTGTACTTTGAAATGGTAGATAGGAATCATAAAAACCAGCATTTATTAAACACCTGTTATCTGTATTTTCTGTGCTGGTGTGCTTTGTATTACTTGATTCATCCATTCCTCCAAACAGCCTTATAGAGTAGCTAGTATCGCCCCCATTTACAGCTGGAGGAAGAGACCCTACAGCAATCAGGTATTAGTTCTCCAAGGTCACACAGTGAGTAAGGGGTAAAGCCGGTATGAAACCCTGCTCAGGACTATTGACAACATCCGAACACTATAGTTATTATAATTATATTTTCTTTTCACTTTTACCACCTTGCAATAGAAAACATCCACAGACCCCAAAAGGAAATCTTTAATATTTCTTGAATATTTACTTTCAAGAAGGCTGTGACAAAAGACAAACGTGATTCTTTTTTTTTCATTCGTTGGAATTTAATACATATATCATTCTATATTTCTGTTAGGTCAAGTAGAATATACAACTACTACCACAATTAGTTTCCAAATATTCGTTTTGTAAGTGAACTCCTTAACACAAACATTCTCATCTACAAGTTCAAAGTTTAGCAGGAGTCAAAGTCACGTCCACAAAATCACGGTGAATTATTTGTTGGGTAGTTGGAGGTCAGCCTGATGGTATGCAGGGAAAGAACAAAGGTGCTGACTTCTGGCAAGATGGCGACCAGGTAGGCAGCTTGCGTTGGGACTCCATGGAGATAGGTGAACGGGAAGATGGGGAGGTCCAGTAGGGGATCTCCGGCTGTCAGTTAATTCCCACAACAGCCCAGAGTGCTTCCCTGAATGGGGAGCCGACTTCCATACCCTCTCCTGCACATACTGCGAAGTTCCAGGGACCCATGGCCTGGTGCAGGGACTGCTCTGGCCTGCACTGCTGTGGACCCCACCATGGTGACCACCACTGGTCATTCACCAGCGCCCTGGGTGCTACGCCCTAAGCTCGCCATCTGCTAAGCAGAGGCTCATGCAGTCGTCGTTTGATACCCCAAATGGACTGGGGCCCTCCCTCTGCCCACTGGTGGATCCCTTCTCCACGACCCACATTCTCTTCCCCTTCCCTGCTCTTCCCAGCCCTCTCCCGCTGCCCACAGTTGGAGCTGTGTGCTAAGCTGACAGCTGAGGTCTCCCCTCCTCCCCCATCTACAGTGGCTCTAGCCACGGACGGATCCCCAATGCTGCCCTGCTCCCCCTGCATTACATCTCGTGCCCCCATGCCTGGGCCATCACTTCATACCGTGGCCTGTGCATCTGCGGACAGATTTCATAGCTTCAAACAGACTCCTACAGATGCCTGAGCGGTGCTTGAATGAACACAGTCCAGCCATGGAGCCTGACGACTGAGAGGGCCATCCAAGCCTTCCTCCAAACAATTCTGATAAGCTAGGGTGAGAGGGAAATCCCAGTGGGACATAGCCATAACACACACACACACACACACACACACCCCTCCCCCAGGGAAGTTGGCTATGGGCAGCTCACAGAAGTATTCCTACCAACCTCTCACAAAGAGACCAGGGCTCTTTGACTCCCGGGAAGATGGTGCCAAGTTCCTCCAAAACAACATGCAGATAGCAACTTGGCTCAATGACCTCGACTAGAAGGGAGAAACAAAATGCAATGTTAGAGGAAGTCCTGAACCTAACAACATTTGTAGAAGAAGCTGACGTTGATCTGCCACAGAAAGGTATCTTCAAAATGCTGCTTGGACTCATACAGGATATGAGGGAAGCAATACAGAAAAAGAATGAAATGATAGAGGAAGTAAAGGCCATGTACCAAAGGAAAATACAAGCATTATGGGACGAGGTAACAAAAGCAAGTAACAAATTCAGACTTCACCAACAGATTAGAAGAAGCAGAGAGCCGTACCAATGAACTAAAGGATAACCAGACAGACTTCAACAAATAGGAAAAACAATCAAACAAGATAATCAGAGAAGCTGAAGAAAACCTGAGAACAATGTCTGATGTAATCAATAGGAACAAAATTAGAATAATTGGACTACCAGAACAAGACACAACAAAGAAGTCAACGGGAAATACTGTATAGCCAGGGGATTGTTAAAGGAAAACTTCCCTGGGTTAATGAATGAAAATCAGGCAACCATTCAGAAAGCCGAAAGGACAAATCTAGACCTAATCCCAAGAAAATTTTGCCATCACATATCAGAGTTAAACTATCCAAATTTGAGGAAAAGGAGAAAAACCATAAGATCACCTAGGAGAAAAAAGGCAATCACCTATAAACATCCCAAATAAGAATGTGCTCAGACCTATCAGTGGACACTATGAAGAAGAGGACAGAGTGGAGTAACATTCCAAAAGTTGAAAAAATAATGCAAACCTAAGAATACTCTACCCAGCCAAATTATCAAGCTAGATGGAGATGTAAGAGTCTTCCCTGACAAGGAAAAACTCAAAGAATATGTTAAAAGAAACTCAGGTCCACAAAAAATCCTTGCTGGCCCAGTATTCGTAGAAGAACAACACTCACCGAGCACAAATAAGAGACCACCACATCGAGCAACTCCACTCAAGGTCAACACATTGAAAACAGCACTCAATGGTGAAAAGAAGGCAAGAATGAACCACACACGTGCACAACGCACTGATAAGGGAAGTAGGAAAACACCCAACACAAAAGGTATGAGATGGCATAGAGAGTCCACAGATGGATGTAAGAAACTCAATATCAATGGACTGAATCACTCCCCCATAAAAAGACAGAGACTAGTGGACTGGCACAAAAAACAACCCATTGATCTGCTGCCTACAAGAGACACATCTCAAGCTTGCAGACAAAAATAGGCTGAGAATTAAAGGCTGGAGAAAAATATACCAAGCAAATAGCAATTTTTTTTTTTTTAAAGCAAGGGACAGCCCAGAGAGAGTGGCAGGTCTGTCCAGACCACACAGGAGCACACTAAGAGCAAAAGATGTCTGTAGAGAGAGTACAGCATCCTTGCCTACCAATCTTCGAGGACTACATTACCCCTCAGAGCAGCCAATGCACAGAGAGGACTGTAGGGTCAACCTTACTATGAGACACACTTAACTCACAACACTACGGGGGGCAGCACAAGAGACATGGAATTGTGCCCGGTCTGACACCTACCCCCCTACTCTCTAACACACACACCAGGGTGTAACACAAAGGGAATGCAACAGAGCAGTAAGGGGAGCAAAGCAACAAAATCCCTGAGGAATTCCGAAAATAGACTTCGGACTTGGGGGACAGGCTTGGCACCACAAGACTTGATCAGAAAACATTCATAAGGGTCAGCAGACAGACCTGGAACTATTTGTAGGCTATTTTTTTGTTTCGTCTTTCTCTTTTTTTCATGTGTATATAAGATAGGTAGGATAAATAATCCCGAGGAGAAAAAAACAGGACCGGCAGGTCTGGGGGCACAAGGGAGAGGGGAGCCACCAAACTCAGGGGCAAGAGAACAATGAAAAGGCTACTTACACAGTACTATGAAGGATTGTACTCCAATGAATTCAACAACTTGGAAGACATGGACAAATATTTGGAAAAACAATCCCTCCCTAGATTAACCCTGAAGGGCCAGCAAGAACCTCAACAGACCCATAGCAATAGAAGAAAGGCAAGGTTATCAAGGGATTACCAACCAAAAAAAAACCCTGGCCAGACAGTTTCACAGGAAAATTCGACCAAGCATTCAGGGAAGAATTCCTATCAGTACTACACAAACACTTCCAGAGCATAGAAAAAGACATCAAACTCCCGAACTCTTTCTGTGAAGCTAGTAAAACTGATACGTAAAGTGGGCACAGATCCCACAAAAATCAAGAACTACAGACCACTATCTCTAATGAACATCAATGCAAAAATCCTTAACAACATACTGGCCAATAGAATACAAAAGTATATAATATGAATAATTCACCATAACCAGGTGGGATTCATTCCAGGGATGCAGGGATGATTCAACATCCCAAAGTCCATCAGCATTATTTGGCACATTGCTATGAAAAAAGATACGAACCACAAGATAATACCGATAGATGTGGATAAAGCATTTGACAACATCCAACGCCCATTCCTGTTTAACATACTCAGGAAGATGGGAATGAAAGGAAAATTTCTCAATATAATATAAGCTACATAGGAAAAACCACCAACCAATGTGGTAGTCAATGGAGAAAAGAAAAACAATCCCACTGAAAAGGGGACAGGACAAGGATGCCCCTTACCCCCGCTTTTATTTAACATTGTACTAGAGGTCTTAGTTAACAACATAAGGCAAAGGAAAGACATCAAAGTTATTCATCTGGGGAAAGATGAGGTGAAACTATCATTGTTGGCATATGATATGATTTTATATATTGAAAACCCCAAAAGCTCCACAAGAGGAGTGCTGGAAGTGATACAGGAATAAAGCACAGTGGCAGGATACAAGATCAATAAACAGAAGTCTATAGGACTGCTATATGCATGAGACCACAGAAGAGGAGATTGAAACATCTAGGGATATACCTAACCCAAAAACCAAAAGATTTGTATGAGGAAAACGACAGAACACTATTACAGGAAACCAAGAGTGGCCTTCCCAAATGGAAGCATATTCCATGCTCCTGAATCAGAAGGCTTAATATAGTAAAGATGTCAGTCTTGCCCAAGGCTCGATGTAAGTTTACCCCTATACCAATACAAATACCAACATCTTCCTTCAAAGAACTGGAAAAACTGACTACCAACTTCATATGGAAAGGGAAGAAACCCAGAATTAGCATAAAACTCCTCAAGAAGAGGGACAAAGTCTGAGAGCTTGCTTTACCTGACTTTAGCACTTACTATCCAGCCAGAGTGGCCAAAACAGCATGGGACTGGTATAATGACAGCTATTCAGACCGATGGAAAAAGAACTGAAAATTCAGAAATGAAATCATCAGCTTACAGACAACTGATCTTTGATAAGGGCGCCAAAAATTACAAATGGGAAGCAGATGCCCTTTTCAATATGTGGTGCTGGAAAAAATGGATATCTATATGCAGAAAAATTAAGCAAGACCCTTACCTCACTCAAGG